TTGATAGACTTACCGATGGAGTGTTGGGCCAAAGCTAGGTTTGCAGTTACACAGATGATTCTGATAGAGCAGCCAAGATTGAGAACTGCTTTAGCAATTTTAATCAAGATGAAATATGTACTGTACACAGATAATTAGGAAAGTGGGGATATTGCCAAAGATACGTAAAAAGGATTCCTTTATTCTTACATTTATGCTAATTGATTCGAAAATGTAAAACTTTTATAAGACATTAAAGCATAATTTTCCAAGGGCAAGACTTAATTTTATGAAAATGTCTTCTTTTCTCAAATGTGTTGCATTTATACATAATTCCAATGAAAATTATAATTGCCTTTTTTAGAAGTTGATAAAATAAATTTAATTGTCATCTAGAAGAATGAGCTTGTAGCAAAGAAATTTGTAGAAACTGATATTGTGAAGGAAACTTGTCCTACTCGTTGGTAGCATTTAATAATACAAATTAAAACATTTGTACTGGCAAATTATGAATAGAAAGATAAATGGAAACAGAATAGAAGAGTAAAAAAAAGACCCACTATTATACAGATAATACAATTAATAATGATAAAAGGGACAATTTATTACAAAAACATAAGTATGTGACTGGTAACAGAGCCTCAAAATGTATGAAACAAAATATGACAGAATTTAAGGGCGAAATAGACAATTTCATAATCATAGTAGATTTGCGTACCTCAATAATTGACAAACAACTAGTAGTTGATAGAAATAAAACAGTAAAAACAGAAAATATGAATAATACTATCAACCACCTTAATTAATCGACATTTGTAGAATGTATTCAGTGACCTCAAAAGAATTAAATGAGAAATCAATAACAATAAGCTATTTAGGAAAATTCCAAATATCTGGAAATTTTTGAAAAATTATAATTCATATGTCAGACAAAATCACAAGGAACTTAGAAAATAATTTGAACTGAAGGGCAGCAAATAGAGTCACTACTTCTACCCTTGAAAGAACCGAATGTATGTATCTGGCCCTTCATTATAAAGGTTCCTGGCAGTCCACATTTGCAAAGCAAATCAATTGGTAATTTTTTTGTTTATGATCCTGTATACATATAATTATACATTTTCGGCAGAAAGAAATTTGCCCACATTCAATAATGTCACAGTGAGACTATCAGTTAAAGCTAGTAATTTTAAAACAAAACCAAACAACAAAAATACACACACACAACTGTTTCACCCTAGTAAAAACATAGTACTAAGTGTTTTCTGACCATCAAGTCTATATGAACTTAAAATGATATATGCATTTATCTTTTATATAAAAACGCATGTTAACCCATTTATCAATTCTGATTTATGAAGAACCTGTGTGGTTAAGAAATGGCTTGCGTGTGTGACAAGTATTGTATGTCATAAAATATGCTGGTATTTCATGACATCAGGTAGTTATAATTGGTTGTTAAAATGTAAGTTGTACCAGGGGATCCATAATGATAAATATTGGATATTAAAATTAGGACAAAGATACAAAATTTTCAGAAGAGATTTTGAAGTCTAGTTTTGACTTTTAAACTCCTTGCCCACATTGAGGATATAAAAGAATTTCGCGGGCTGGCCAAGTGGCGCGTTGGTTAAGACCTGGCTTGGGACGCCAGCTCTGAGCAGCAGGGCCCCGGTTTGGATCTCATATGTGGGCCAGTGACCCTGCCCTCTACAGCTAAGATGGTGAACAACAGCTCAACCTGGAGCTGGGCTGCCATGAGTCGCCGGCGACAGCATAGGCTGTAGCCCCTGCTGCAGTGGGCTGCCATAAGCTACCGTGTGTGGCCAGCAGCCAGCGTGAGCGGCCAGCAACCAGTGTGAGCTGCCAAGAGCTGCTGTGGGCGGCTGTCCAGAGGCCGGCGACTGATCTGCCTTGCCTGAGAAGAGCACAATGATAATACCAACATGAGCCAGTGAAGCAATGTCCTCCACAACTAGATTGAAGAACCAAAGGACAGCAACTTGTCTGTTCCCCCTCCCCGATTCTCCAACACTGTTCCCCTCCCCCAATTCCCTAATAAATTCTTAAAAAAAAAAAAAAGAATTTCGCTGTTGGAGATTAAAGTGAAAGGTTTGTATCAAAGAGCATTTCTCTGGAAAGAATGGTGCTGTGAACCCTGGTCCATCCTGTTGTTTCTGCCTTCATCCCAAGAGAAAAGGGCTTCAAGGAGATAATTGAATGGCTTAGTAGGTTCCTCCTGAAGATCTTGGTGGAGGGGCTCAGTGCAGGTTGGAATGAAAAGCAGGCATCCTGAGGAAATGGCAGAATGGTGGTTGTAGCAGTCACCTTGCACGCCACGATTTTGTGTCGATGAAGATTAGTGTTTCCTATAGACTGTTGGGCCCTGGGCATCGGAGAGTGGGACTAAGATTGACTCAGGTCCTGTTTAGTGGAGAAGTTTGGAGAATGTGGGACCTTAGCCCCCCAAAACTGGATTCTAGGTCATACATCAGGAGTGTATGCAAGGCTAGCTTCATGGGTGTGCAACCTGTGCATTTGCAAAGGGCCATGCACTTAGAAGGGCCCCATGCTTGGTTAAATGCTGTGCTGTCACCAGCTTGAAAGTCTTAATACATTTTTTAACAAAGGACCTTATGTTTTCATTTTTTACTAGACTCCATAGTCTGTCCTAAATTTATGACCTACATTGAGGAAACTATAGATGAAGGGGGCCTCAGCAGTGGGAGAGGGGTGGCTCTCTAAAGTCAGCAAGCACTTGATGGGCTTTACATATTCGCCACACTCGTGAGGCAGGCGAGGCTTGTCTAGCCACTGAGCCAGCCAGGTAGCACTTCCTGCTCCCCTCCTCTCCATTGTCTACTTCCAGTCATTCTAACCCCGAGAGGACTGAAACAGCCTAGAAAGGGCGGGTAAGATTTAGATAAAAAGAGAGAGGTTTTCCCAAACCCTCTGTCAAGGCCTGTACTTGTTAACCTGAATCCGATCCCAGCTGGGGAAAGGAAGCTGGTCATTCTAATAGCCAAAGGAGGGCTCTTTTCTGTCTTAAAGTCATGTAAATAGACTTGTATAGATAAAAGGAATTAGAAAAACCATGGGGCTTTCCCAAGTTTTCATCCAGGGGTGGGCAATGAACTACCAGACTGAATAAAAAGTAGGAGAAAGGTGATGGACAAAATGAAACTGCTTTTGAAATTACATCCAAAGTGATACGTATTCAGTGTATTGATTACACAGTTGAATTTGAAGACTCTAGAAATGTCAAAAGATTTTTTGATTCAAACCATGTTGTTGACTTTTAAGTTTGAAATAATGCCCTAAAAGCGAGCTTAAATTTAGTGGTGAAATTGGAGTTTTTGTAAATTGCATTTCTTAATCTAATTTGGTATTAGGCAAAGAAATGTTGATTTTCCCATTTGTCATTTGCACTGTGTTTACCTAGTTGTTGGCTTGCTGACAGTGGTCTGAAGATGGAAAAGTTTAGTTGTTCAGTGTAGTTACTTTTTGTGTGTGATATATCTTTAGGAACCACGCTTTAATTTTGGACAGCTAAGCTTGATTTATTATAAAGTAATTTCGTTTTTCCACTGGCAGTGACATAGAATAATTTTTTTCTAGTGGTTCTTCCAAATGACCTGACTTAGGAAAATGTTGCAAATTTTCAATATATTTCTACTGCTGTTTTCCATTTAATGCAAAGACTGTTGTAGGCTAATTATAGAACATTGCTTTTAGCCCATGTGGATGTGCAATTAACTTTGACGCTGATGGACTGACATTTAGAGTAAAATGAGAATCTTCCCTGGGATTCTGTTGTGAACGGAAAAGGGGCCACAGGTTAAACCTAACAAGCTTAGGAGACTAAAACTAAGATGGTGTGAACACACACACACACACAATTTTTACGTGGGCCATGGTGGGAAGTCACATCTTCAGCTTCCTCATTAAGTTAAGCTGTGCCTTTTCAGTAGCCCTGTTGTCTTTCTGTACCTAAGATAACACCTTTAATCCTTTTTCTGGACCATAGCTGAACACTGCAAAATTCCTCATTATTAGGCTTGTCTCCTGATTGCCATCTCTATGTGCTGTAAAAAGCTAACTGTTGCTATCCTGCACCCACCTATGTAAAAAGAAGTACCTGTCTCTCCAATTTACTTTTATCCAATCCCAGAGATTTCCCCGTTTTGCTTTCTCCCACCCCCTCTATCACCAGTTGATTTCATGTAACCTTTCTCCTTTGATTTTATGTATAAAATAAACTGTAAAACTGCCATTCTTCGGAGTATTTTCTCAATTTGTTGAGATTTTGCTTCCCAGCAGTTGTCGACAGTTTGGCTCAAATAAACTCTTATGAGTTTTCTCTTAGGCTGGATGATTTTTGTCAACACTGTGAACTATACTTTAATGCCCTTCAATGATGAGATATTTGTGCCTTCTTAAATTTTCTCGAGGTTTTTTTGTTGTTGTTGTTGGTAAAACTTCACAAAATGTGAATGTTGTAAATTGTTGACTAAAAAATGTCATGAAGTATTTTCTCCTTTATAAATTCTTTCTGGCTATACAAAACTTATAGGAGATTTATATTTTGTGACTTACCTTGGTAAGTATTATGTGAAATATAAGTTCTATCAACAGATATAATTTTATTTTTGAACTTTTGCTGAAACTTAATTGTTAATCTGTCCTGTCTGATTTTACTTTAAATTAGAAAACACTGCACCTAAAATTCAGATCCTTGAAGGAGTGAGCATCATGAGAAAAAATATTTGCATCATTTGTAATTTAAAAGGCAGTGTACTTAAAAGAAGGAAATTTGAAAGGAGACCAAATGGCAAGCCAGGCTACTCAGGGATGGGGTCAAATTGCTCTGACCTCTGGCTCACCACCTGACCTCATTTGTAAGCCATGACTCACAACCGTTTTGGATACCATTTGGAAAAGTAATCACAAAACCTTCTCATAAATTTCTTTCTGTATATTTTCATTTCTTTCTTCAGTACATTCCTCTGATTTTGTTCTAGGCTCGCAGGAAGGAGGTATTTATCCAGGAACGGTATGGAAGATTTAATTTAAACGACCCATTCTTGGCACTCCAGAGAGACTACGAAGCAGGTGCCTGTGATAAAGAGAAGAAGGCCGTTTGCACCAACCCCCTCTCCATCCTTGAAGCAGTCATGGCGCACTGTAGGAAAATGCAAGAAAGGATGTCCGCACAGCTGGCTGCTGCTGAGAGCAGACAAAAGAAGGTATTGAGACTTCCCAACAGTCATTTTCTCCATAACACAGTGGAGAGTGCAGAGACCATCTCTGAGGTTATCCTTTTTTTTTTAAAATTTAAGTTCATTGGGGTGACAATGGTTAGTAAAGTTACATAGGTTTCAGGTGTACAATTCTGTAATATATCCTCTATATATCACATTGTGTTGTTCACCACCCAGAGTCAGTTCTCCTTCTATCACCATATAGTTGATACCGTTTACCCTTTGTTTTTAAATACTGTATTTTCAAGAAGCATTTTCAAGTACTTAGAAATGCAAAATGTTGACAGATTCCAGTGACCCTTTTCAACTGTAACTCAAAATTTTAAAATACTCTAAGCTATAAAAGAAGTATGACAAAGAAATTGTTTCCCATAATGGTGACTTTGAGGCTTTGTTGAAAAACACACATATATGTTTTTTCCTTTGGACTTCTCTTTTCTGGTGCCATAAGACATGCCTAACTGCTATGTGGGTGATCCAGTAACACAACCAGGCTCTGATCATACGGTGGCATCCCCAACTTACTTTATCCAGCTTCTGTCTCAAATCGTTTTTTGAAATAAAAAAATGTTTACATTATTTCTTTGGAAAATGAAAATAGCATGTGGAGACTAGAATGAAAGTTGGCATGGTTATGCAATCTCCCTACATGTCGTTCGAAGTCCTGGTTAGTCTCCAACTTGCCTCTGGGGTCTGATAGCTGTGTCTGCTGCAGACCTCCAGGCTCCTGATCACATGTGTTTCATTTAAACCAACCTCCACCGCACTCCTTATCTCCCCACCCCCACACACATATTTGCTGCATGTGAATACATGCTTCAAAGAGTCCTGAGTGATAAAAGCTTACTAATATCAGCCATGTGGACATAGAAGTTTAAATCAAAATTTTTTCCCCAATAGTCTGCCAAGACTACTGAGTCCCTTTATTAGAAAAGAGTGAGAAAATCAGAGAAGCTAATGATGTCTAGAATAATTAGAATTAAAAGCAATATGTTCTTCCAGCCATTATAATGCATGAATTAAAATGTTTCTATTTGTCCTTTTCAGAGAATTCATTATAGCTTACATGTCACACCTTTGACAGTTAACCTGAATGCACTGCACTCTAAATATTTGTGATACTGTCATTTTATATATGTTTTTCCCTGTAATTATATCTTTGCATTAACATATGTAGGATATGTAGGTCAGCGTTCTGAGTGTTGAATAAAAGCAGACTTTTTCATCACTATGTCATATGGTAGAAAACTAAGCACTGGGTAAACTAGTAAAGAAGAAAGGCTAGAAGGCTTTCCATGGATGGGAGGCAGAATCAAACAGTTTCACTTTGGACAGTGTAAACCCTGTACGAAGCCCTATAAATAACCTCTGGGGTCTCTAGAGATTGTCAGAATTGTGTAAGCAAGAGCCAGTGTATTTCAGCTGATGTCACTGAGATCATCTGTATTTCTTGGATGAGACACATTTCAATTATGTTCTTAACATGTCAAATGAGCTATTTCATAATAAAGTGTTCTGCTGGATTTTGTGCTGCATTATCAAAAAAATAAGAAAATATTTTGTTTTCATTATAGTTTTCACTTAATATGTAAAAATGCATGCATTCCTAAATTTTACTTAAGTTTTGCCTTTTATCTATCATTTCTCTTGTAGGAGAAAAAAAGAAACTTATTTTGAGTCGAATCAAAGATTTTATTATCTAGCTGATTTTTTTTTCTTCTAATCAACTTACATCCTGTTTGTTTCTAAATGACTGGGTCATTTCCAACCTGGCTGGGAGTGAAAGGAAATTGTTTTTGTCCTATGGGTCCTGAGAGGCTAATGTGAAATGAGCCATTGAGATCTGTCTCTCATGTATAACGGGGATACAGGAGTCCTTTACTGTGAAATTCCTTGGCTGTGTGGTCTCAGTGAAGGATCGCTCTGATACGCATTGCTACCTTGTCTCCCTAAAGGATATTTTGTTCCTGTAGATTGTACCAAGTGACAAGAGTCGCAGTTTGTACTCTTATCCTGAATCTTACCAAGAAAATATCACATCAGCTGATAAGACCAGAAACACCAAAGTCATCTTTTTAGCAACAAAATTACCTGTCACCTTTAGTCTGGAAAGTAAATATTTTAACCAAACATCTTCAATTCCTTTATATATATATATATATATATATATATATATATATATAT